CTAACTTAACCTAAAAACTCCTAACTAGGAGTCTTAGCTTAAAAGTTATTCCAGAACACTCTTAGAGAACTCTGAGCAAGGAATTGACAACAACTCTTATCTTAGTGAGGAGGCGTGGCCGACCCCGTCGCTAGGTATGAGTCATCATTTCAGACGCTGTGATTGGTTGATCCTAAAAGTTAGAGAACTTATTTTTGATGATAATGGGCAAAGTAAGGGCCCTAAAATGGACAAACTCAATCATGGAATCTAATCTTAGGAAGACTGTGTCATTGTGAATAATAGTCAGAAAGGTAGAAAGTCAGAAATATCAATGTTAAATTAATATTGTGAACAGTAAGTTAGACTTTTACACCACATCATGAGAGTTCGCTCAGCACCAATTTATCACACACATAAATATATATATATTAAATTATTATTATAAATATATGGATAAATGACGATAATGATAACGTTAGGATTAGAAAAGACTGATACTGAAAGAAATACAAGGAATTAAGGAAACAATATAAACATATTAGACATACACTGTACATGTCAAGGTCATGTTATTATAAATGTCACTGTTGCAAAACTGTAAATATACCACAGAATAAACTGAGCTGTGCAACCACATCATTTAAGTTAATTTAGAATGAGAAATAGAGAGTGGGAGTTTAACAGTCTTAACTTCTTCTCACTCCTTTTGAGCTGGATCGTTGTTAATAAAACAAAACTGTATATTTGTACTTTTTCTATTCTGTTGTTGTCCTTTTTTCTTGTTTGCCGTGGCTCGAAATAAAGTATTCATTCATTCGTACTGAATGTGTGAAAATGTAGGCCCACTTGCACAGTATTAACACAATAATAGTTATATTTACTTGCTTTTATTAATTATCAGGCTGGTCATTTTTTCTCTTTCAACTTTTACCATTTCTATCTACTTTTGTGTAACAAGGGTAATGTTCTTCGACTTCTCCAGTGCTTTCAACACCATCAGGCCGGTACTGCTGCGGGGGAAGATGGAGGTCGCAGGAGTGGACAGTAGCCTCACTGCATGGACCATCGACTACCTCTCAGACCGACCACAGTACGTGCGGCTGTGGGTCTGAGGTGGTAGTCTGCAGCACTGGGCCCCCTCAGGGCACTGTCCTCTCACCGTTTCTCTTCACCATCTACACTTCAGACTTCACATACGACACACACAGCTGTCACCTGCAGAAGTTCTCCGCCATCGTGGGCTGTGTGTTTGAGGGGAACCAACTGGAATATCGGTCAGTTATCACAGACTTTGTCGACTGGTGTGAGCGCAACCACTTGTGCTTGAACACCAGTAAGACCAAGGAGATGATCATCGACTTCAGGAGAAAACCACTTTCCCACACGCTGCTGAACATCCAGGGGGAGGACATTGAGCTGGTGGACAGCTTAAATTACCTGGGTGTTCACCAGTGGGGGCGGGTCCCGGCTCGAAAGTGGCTAAAATGATGTGCGCCGACATGCTGCAATACCACCCCGGGCCGGTGGGGGTGGACCCGGAATAAGAATTAGCCAATGCTAACATAGCACTTGTGGCCATGTTGGATAGCTCCAGTAGAGCAATATTTTTGGCCCATTAGATTGTAAGGCGGAGATAGCCATGACTACGTCCATTATTTTTTACAGTCTATGGTGTTCACATTAACAATAAACTGGACTGGTCCCATAACACCAACGCCCTGCACAAGAAGGGCCAAAGTCGCCTCTTCCTCCCAAGGAGGCTGAGGTCCTTCGGAGTGAGCAGGCCTCTGCTCAGGACTTTTTTTTTTTGACTCTGTGGTAGCCTCTGCCATATACTACGCTGCTGTGTGCTGTGCCCTGGGCAGCACAGAGCAGGACAGGAGCAGACTGAACAAGTGGGTCAGGAGGGCCAGCTCCACTCTGGGCTGCTCCCTGGACTCTGTGGAGGAGGTGAGGGACAGGAGGTGCTCGTCAAAGCCACCTCCATCATGAACAACACCTCCCGCCCACTGCACAGAACTGTAGAGGAGCTGAGCTCCTTCAGTGGAAGACTGAGGCACCCTCAGTGTAAGAAGGAGCTCTACCGCAGGGCCTTTATCCCCACTGCTGTCAGACTGTACAATAAGTCACTTTAAGTCACTTGCACTAGGACTGAAAAACCTGCACTACTATTGACACTGTTTCTTGATTCCCACTTTTTAATTGTACATAATATATTCTGCATTTAACATGTTTGCATATTTCTTTCTTTTTGCACAAATCTTGAGTGTTTCTATCCATGCCAGATGTGACATGTACATTTCTCCTTTGTGAGATCAATAAAGTATATCTTATCTTATTGTAGGCTGAGGCAACATCAAATGATCAGATGCCTATAGCAGACAGTCAGTGTGATCCCTGGCGCTGCTTAGCTTGAGCTCTGTGATCTGGGGCTTGTAGTTAGTTACTTTGAGTTGCAAACATGCCTCAGAGTGCTCCGTTGTGAACTGCGGGTGGGGCTTCTCGTCCTCAAAGTATGGATATTGTTTTTGCCCTTTTCATTCAGAAAGGCCTTGATAGCATCAAAGCAGCTGACAAATCGCTCCAGAACTTTTCCACAATTCGGCCATCTCACCTCTGACTGGAGTTCATTTCAAATTCTAAATCTGATAGAAGTAATTGTCAATCTTTTTTTTTAAATTGAATTTCACAATGTCTTGAATTTTAGTGTTGAAAATAAACATATTGTAAAGGCAAATGTCATTATAAAATTTTAATCACATCAAAATCTGCAACCTGATTTTTTTTTTTTTTTTTTTTTTAGCGACTGAATTTGAAAGACAAAAAAGACAATCAAATCTGCCATATACTGTATCACCTTATATAAAATGAGAAATAAGGTATTTGAGAGTTTCTGTATTTTGTTCAATCCCAATATGGTTGTGACTTAAATTTGTTGTATGGCTCTGTAGATGCAGTCTAAATGTGCTTGTAGTGTTATTGTTTAACTACACACAACTTAATGAAGACAATCTGAAATTATTTTCATGGACTCCCAGCTCAACACAACCATGAGAATTAAAACTGGTACAATTGACTCATCACCTCTCCCCTGGCTCCCTGTTCTATCAAACACTGCACCTCCACACATCCGGCAAACAGCAGCGACTCAAAGGATGCTCCAAAAGGTTGTAGACTCCCCCCACGACCAATCCACAAAGAAATCTCCAACCCTGCTCGGCTCCCATCCAGACGCCCCATCTGGAAGAACCCCCCCATCAGCTGACTTCACCGTCCAATCAGAGTGGAAAAGGGAGTGGGCGTCCAAGGAGGTCCCCAACAAACACCTGGTGCCAGACCCTTCCCAACAGGTCCCTGGCACCGACCTAACAAAGAGACAATAGTCCTCCATCAACAGGTTCAGGACATTGAGGCAACTGACTGCAGGACTTTGTATTCGCTAAATGAGTTTGACTCTCCTGATCTACTTTAATGATGTAGGTTTACTTCAGTTCAAGTTTGGGTTGAAAACTTGTCTGGTTGTGTTTCGTCCTGGTGACTAATAATATAATATCTGTCTGCTTTTTTCTGTGTTTGTTGCAGATCTACAAAGTCCATCTACAGAATGGGGTTCACCTGTGATCAGTGTGGAAAGACCTGCGTCTCTGCTTCTGCACTGAAGTCCCACTACCGAACTCACACTGGAGAAAAACCTTACGAGTGTGATCTGTGTGGAACCGGATTTATTACAAAAGAACGTCTCAAGGTCCACAGCAGAATCCACACTGGAGAAAAGCCCTTCAGCTGTGACGTTTGTGATCAGAGTTTTTCTCAAAGTGGTAATCTCAAAAAACATAAGGGGATCCACACTGGAGAAAAGCCCTTCAGCTGTGACGTTTGTGATCAGAGTTTTAGACAAAAGGGTTATCTCAAAATTCATCGGAGGATCCACACAGGAGAGGGACCTCACCAATGTGACCAGTGTGAGAAGACTTTTACACATTTATGTCACCTCACTGAGCACTACAGAATTCACACTGGAGAAAAGCCATTCGTCTGTGGAGACTGTGGGAAGGAGTTTAGTCGCTTTTCGAACTACAAAAGACATGAGAAAATTCACACTGGAGAAAAACCATTTGCATGTGACCTCTGCAGTAAAACGTTTAGAACTGCAGCACATCGCACAGTTCACCATAGGAGCCACACTGGAGAGAAGCCGTATGAGTGTGATCAGTGTGGAACATGTTTTTCCACAAGAGGAGATCTTAATAAACACAGCAGAATCCACACTGGAGAAAAACCCTTCAGCTGTGACGTTTGTGAGCAGAGTTTTTCTCTCAGTGGTAATCTCAAAAATCATCAGAGGATCCACACTGGAGAGAAACCATTTGTCTGTAAAAAGTGTGGAAAGTCTTTTACACAAAGGTCAAATCTTCGTCAACACAATAAAACGTGTGAGAAGCAGGTGTGAAGACGCAGCATCTGGAACAAAGTGAAGGAGACAGAGCTGAGGCTGCATCATGTGAACCCAGAGTCAGACTCTACAGGATCACACTTCAGTCTTAACCCTGTGCTGCAGCTGCTGAGCTTTACAGACCAAACACTTATTGTGGATTTGAACATCTTTACTTTGTGTCTGGAGACTCGGATACATCATGTTTTTGTCTGAAAGGAAAATCTTATGGTTCCTTTAAAGCTGCATCAAGTCTAAGATTCAAACTGACATGTGATGAAGGAGACAGAGTGGGGACATTATTATTCTGAACTAAACAGCAGATAAAAACTATTGAAGCATTTGTACAAATTGTGTATTTCCAATTTTCTATCTGTTTGTACAAATGTATTTGTGTTTCCAAGTGGTGGGCTCTAAATGGAGAAAGAAGTAAAAAGGTGCAGCCTTATGGAGCTATTATTGTTTCAATAATATTTGTGCGTGCGTAACCAGATTTGTGTGTGTAAAAGAAATATTTGTGCGTGTGTAAATAGATTTGTATGTACGTATCAAGATTTTGTGTATGTGTAAAGTAAAAAAAAAAAGTATGTTTTACACTCAAGTTTTGGAGGAGGAGAGGAGGAGAGGAGAGAGGGAGGAGAGGAGGAGGAGGAGGAGAGGAGGAGAGGAAGAGGAGGAGGAGGAGGAGGAGGAGAGAGGAGGAGGAGGAGGAGGAGGAGGAGGAGGAGGAGGAGAGAGGAGGAGGAGGAGGAGGAGGAGGAGGAGGAGGAGGAGGAGGAGGAGGAGGAGGAGGAGAGGAGGAGGAGGAGGAGGAGGAGGAGGAGGAGGAGGAGGAGGGAGAGGAGGAGGAGGAGGAGGAGAGGAGGAGGAGGAGGAGGAGGAGGAGGAGGAGGAGGAGGAGGAGGAGGAGGAGGAGGAGGAGGAGGAGGAGGAGGAGGAGGGAGGAGGAGGAGAGGAGGAGGAGGAGGAGGAGGAGGAGGAGGAGTCACACCCAAGGTCAATAACACTTTCTCAAAAACACAATGCTAGCCTGAGTGAAATGTGGTTACATTTGAAGAACATAAATGAATGTGAAAGCACCATTGCACACATAGAAAGAGACATTTTCTTGTTTTGTCTCTTTTCAGACCAGCCAATGTGTCTTTGTCACTGTTTAGGTACAGCCAGAAGGGTAAAAAGAAGGGACAGGTGTCAGCAGGACCATGGAGAGCACCCAGAAAGCCCAGTGGCTCTGCTCCAGGACAGCAGGCGGCAGAAAGGTGCTTGACCACAACTTGCTCTCCTCTTGGTTCAATGCTAATCATTGACATAGAGACATGTCACCATGTTACGTTCAAATTCTGTTAACGCATTCCCTGTTCACATTGTCCCTTGGTTCTGCATGACTTTACATACTTGTTCAGTCCAAAACATATTATGTTTTTCTCCCACAGACTGTACATGACTCATGGCCAAGCAGCTCAGGACCCTGAAGCAAACAGAGTCAGTGAGTGTGTTTGCCTCAGACTGGCCAAAGAGTTTGATCAGGCACGCAACAGGCCAAAGGACGTAAAGGGCAAGACCATGCCCATCCCACAGTCCATCGTCAGCGTCTACAGCCACCTCAGACAGCTGCTGGAGGACAGCAGGGTGGTCCTGGGTCAGACCAACGTGGTGCTGGTACCAGTCAACAACACCACTGTCTCCTCATGGTATGTGTTGTTTTATTTATCACAGCACATGTTTGTATGAAGTTGAAAACAAACAGAACAATATAAGAACTGTTTCCTTCTTACCAGCTCCTTTCCTTTCATGTCAATGTTTAAATGATATGTAACTTTCAAATGATCATTGTGTGAACAATGTAATGAGAGGAAACCTATCATCAAAGGAACACATGAATACAAATACAAATGTACCTTTCCCAAACAGTCACCACAGTGTAAAGATGTATCTTCAGTGTAATAAACTGTGTAATGACCTTATGGAGGACAGGTTCATCTGTAGGTTCATCATGAATGTTTGTCTTGTAGGCTGCTCAGGAGGGACAAGAGGAAGGACAGGGACATGCTTCTGCAGGGCACTGTTCTTCCAAAACAGCTGCACCAGGCCAAGGAGCCTCTGCCTTCAGTGAGCACTCTCCCTGCTGCCCCTGAACCACATGCTCAGGAGATGACTTTTGAAGAGCCTGAGAATCGTGAGGGAGAAGCTTTCCCCCGCCAGCGAAATGTTGCAGGACCCAGCCAACCTGTGCCTCATCCACCACCTCCCACTTTCCCTTCACAATATGGACCAGCTCCTCCTCTCCAGCAAGCTCCTCATTTACATTACCCACCTCCATTTCCCCATGTTCCTCCACATCTGCACCCCCAATACCCTTATCCTCCTCCATTCCCCCATGCTCCACCTTTTCAATATGCTCCTCCACTTCCACAAGCTCCTCCACTCCCCCATGCTCCTCCGTGTCCCGAGGCTCCTCCGCTGCAGCAGCCTCCAGCAGGCCTTCCCTCTCAGCCAAGGCAGCGTGCATGGAGGCTGAATAAAGCTGCCCAGGAGGATGAGGAGCGAGCATTAAGGGGCGAACCACCGAAGAAGAGGTTGGCCAAAGAAAAGTACCACTACACCTGCAAGCAGTGTGGTGAGAACAAGAGCAAGACCACAGGACACACGCAGGTGAAGGGGCGGTGGTACTGTCCGGCCTCAGGTCTGACCCTGGAAGACTGGAGGAGGAGCCTCAACTGAGAACACTGTTTTTTCATTTTTTATTTGTTATATTATTTGTGAATAGTTTTATAAGAATATATTGCACTGTGTTTTAGGTGTTTGTTTTACCAGTCTGAATAAGCTTTGATCTCTGTGTCTCTCTGTGTATCTCTCTGTGCCTCTCTCTCTCTGTATCTCTGTGTCTCTCTGTGTCTCTGTATCTCTCTGTATCTCTCTGTGCCTCTGTCTCTCTCTGTCTCTCTGTGTATCTCTGTCTCTCTGTGCCTCTGTGTATCTCTGTCTCTCTCTGTGCCTCTCCATGTGTCTCTCTGTGTGTGTGTCTCTCTCCTCATCCTGTCTGCTTTCTGGTTTCTAGTTTTCTCTGTTGTTTAATGTTACAATAAAGTTTATTGATATCTTATACCAGATGATCCTCGTTGTTTATTTCATTTCCTTTAAAAACAGGAGTGTCTCTCTGTCTGTGAGTGAGCCTCATACTCTGAAAAACAGAAGCCAGAAACACTTATTATATTTATATATATTTTTATTATTATATATTTATTCTCATAACCCAACACATCCACACTCAGTTATACACGGTGAATACATTGTTTTGTTGATACTGCCACCTGGTGGGCCATATAAACGTCCACAGCGCTGTGTTACTTGGGGAGGTTGCAGGATCGAATCCCACAAGAAACATACAAATTGAAGTGATGATACACCTTGCTTTAAGTGATGAAGTGAGTGTAAACATGAGAGAGAACGTAATGGAGAAGAAAATAATGTATGTAGTGCTCCCCTCCCTTTCTTCCCGCGGCCCCCCTGCAGTACCCTCGCGGGCCACCAGGGGGCCGCGGACCCCACTTTGGGAGACACTGGGAATGGTGCTTTCAGACCGAAAAGAGCATAGACAACTTAAATTCATGAAAAACACGTTCTTTTTATAAAATATAGGATTTTTTTTTGCCGGAATCTCTTTCAGATTGACATTGTCATGCAATTTTGATATCCACAATTTTTTTTTTTAAACCCGGCATAAGGTCTTTAAGTGCTAATTAGATCAGCCTAACCCACACGGCAAACTATTAGATATTAGATGTTGAATAAGGCCATGTAAAGTAAATGTGACCCTATTTAGCTGCTAATTAGTGAGGGATAAATCATTATTACCAAATCATCCAGCATTGTGGAAGTATCCTTTCCTTTTGGATCAAACGACTTCTCCCTAATTCTTTGTCCAATGTAATCAGCACTGCATATTTTAGGAAAGAATGTAAATATATATATATATATATATGACATAAATAACAAACTATAAAAATTATAGTATTGTCAAACTCACAGAAGAGCTTGAAGGTCTCTTCTCAGTCTCTTTGCTCCCATTTTTATGAATAAAGGTGCAGTCCAGTGGTCACCAACCTGTCTCAGGATCTACTAGATCTGTATCCAAGTAGATCCCCTAAAGGTTTAGACAAAATATAGTAGACAGAATACCTGAGGGCTCTACATGTGGTCTGAAAGGAAAGTGGATCGCAGACAGACTTCTCAGGTTATCAAGTCTACATTATTCATGATCTCTGACAATACACAGCCACAAACTCAACTACTCCTTTGATTTAGAACAGAGACACGTTTGAAACCAGAAATAAAACCATTTTAAAATGTCTTTATTAAAAATTTAAAAAGTACAAAAGAAAAGACCACCACCAAAAGTCAAGCCCTTTTTATGGTCGTTTTCTTGTTTTTTTGTCCTTAAAAATGGGTGAGCTTAAAAACTCTGTATCCGTAAACTTGTCTCCACGTCTCAACTTACTGTAAAAACACACACACACAGTACACGCACACGGTACACACACACACACGGTACGCACACACACACACACACATATAAGAGGATTAGAATGACTTTACATACTTTTGTTCAAAATGGTGAGATTCGACGGACCTCTTGAGGTTTGGCTCCTTGTAGCTCACTTTCTCCTTCCTTCGGGTGTGGCGTGTCTGTCCGTCATTCTCTTTTCCTGGGTATGAAATTGTGTTGGCCAGGGGAGTTGGAACTCTATCCACTGCAACACAAAACCCATCTCTCCATTATTACATCACAAACAAGAGAGAGCAGGGCCTCTCTGATAACATAAAGCATTACCTAGGACGTTATTGTTGTGAGAACTCTCACTCTGCACCGTTCTTCTGGCTGTCCTGGGGGTACAGGGCATAGAACCCATCTCCACAGCACTAACATTGTGATCCAGCCAGGGAGGCATTTCATCGGTTAAAAGTTCCCTATCCGGCCACAAATTCTGATATTGTTTGGCGTTTTTGTTGCTCTTGGACTTTGTTTCCGTGACACCGGAGAGCAACTCATCTTCAAGTGGACCAAACAAAGAATTGAAAAGTTGTGTAGCGTCTGTAGAACTGTTGGTTTTGTTTCCAACAGCGACATCATCTGGTTTCATCCTTGTTGCGTTTTTCTTTTTCACTTCCCGTTTCTTCTTCTGAGCAGATTTCTTTTTCTCCGTGTCCATTTTGCCGTGGTCCCACAGGTTGGATTGGTCTAGATTTTCACATTCAGAGCTTTGCAAACCCTTTGTTAGTTCTAATGAGGCCCACTCACTTTCAAGAGCAAAATCACCAGCAGGTGCGGGGAAAATGAAAAAAACTTTTCTTACGAGACGATCGCTTCGTTCTCCTGCAGGTGATGTTGAATATTTCTTCAGCATTATCATCAGGTTCCACAGGTTTATTTGTTTTTTTAATGTCCCCATCTTTAAAATTATTTTCCACTAAACAAGCATCTGCACTCTCCAGATCTAACTGCCCCATGGGTTTCAATGTTTCCTTCTTTTTCAAAGGGTTTGTCAAGGTTTTTTTATCTTGGGAATGCCAGATGTATTCTTTCTACTCTGTGCTTTGCCCTTCAGTGACTCACATTGTGTCATTTCATTTTGTGCATACTTTACAACTTTGTCTGACTCCATAAAAGTGGATTGCTCCATTCCTTCAGTATTATTTTTGTCTTGATTGTTCATTTGAATGCAAACGCCTTCCTTTTCTGGGTTGACTTTGATGTTTTGATCAGTGGAGGAGTTAGTTTGGGTTTCCTTCCCAACAGAAACTATATCAGGAGCAGTTGTAGCAGTCATCTCCATGGTCAAGTCCAGAATTATTGTCTTCTCCGACTTTTCATTTAGCTCGGATTTAGAAACTTTCGGCTTGGGTTTGTCACAGATGTCCTGCATCGGATCTTTGCTTCGGAAACCTGGGAGAGTGTTCACATCATATCCACGCTGGGCATACATCACTGACAGCCGGTTCACATCCTCCTCCAAGCTGCTGGATGGTCTGCTCCCTGCCAATGAAGGAGCGTCTGCAAGAATACTGTTGTGGTCTATGACAGCTGAAAGTAAACATACAGATATGAATACAATGCATTATTATCATTATTATTATTACAATTACCATTACCATTACCATTATTATTATTATAATTACCATTACCATTTTTATTATTATTATTATTATTATACCATGGTCAGTCAGTGGTAGGTTGGGATCTTGAGAGGGCTTTCGGGGTGGACGTGAAAAGTCCTTTGGAATTTGTGATTGAGTACTTGCCTGTCTGGCAAAACTGAAATGGAACATATTTACATGAAAGAGCACGACAATATCAACAATTTAACATAATTTGACTTACATTGAAAGAACATCCTCTGAATTACACATACTTTTTTGATGGTCGCCAATAGTTTTAGGGATGTCCTGAGGGAGAGCAATACAAGGTTTCGTTATAAAATCATGTCACAGTAGAAATAATGTACAGTAAAATCAGAGACAGGCTTACCTTATCAGAAATGAAAAGACCTGCCACCATTTCCAGATTTTTCTTTGTAGATAGAGTATTGCTTCGTATATTTTTTAGTATGGAAGACTACAAATTAAAATATATATATATATATATATATATATAATAAAAACAGTATAATTATAATGATCATGTTTATACAAAACAACCATGTACAATATCAAGTTGAAAGAAAAGTTCACTCACCAGTTTCCTCTCATTGAATTTCCTTGCAGCCAAATCAAAGCATAATCCTTGGACTTGTTTCTGAAGGTAAACGATCTCCTTCTCCAGTTGTCGGCTCTTTTCTTTCTCTATAGCCAGAGCAACTGCTAAAGCCTTGTTGTTGGTCTTTAAAGAGACCTTGAAAAATGAGGATGTGTCTGGTGGGGATATGTTGGATGTTTATTTGCAAGAAACTAGTAAAGAATTGGATCAGATTAGGGGTGTCATAAAAACATAATTTACACTTACTGAGAATTTTGTTTTTGACCATTGATACTGCAACCGCTGTTTGCTTTACAACCCCCAAGGGTGCCCGAGTCTTCACTGGTAACATCATTGTGAGACCTACAAGAAAAACATTGGAAACATCACTTGCTTGTTTCATGAACATTGTATTATTGACACATGGATAGCTGATAATCACTAAACCAAAGTATCCCTCTTTTGTTTTTAATCCCAGGGTTTTATACTGTCCATCCATCCATCCATCCATTTTCTTCCCCTTAATCCATTTCTGGGTCGGGGGGGTGGCCAGAGATGCCACCCAGCACACAGAGCACCAGCCCCTGGTTTTATACTGTCAAAAGATAAATTAGAACTCAGACTTGTCTACATAAAACTCTCAAATTGGGAATGACGAGTGGGCCCAGCAACTAAAGAACCGAATTAACACAACATACAACTGTAACCGAGTCATACATTCTGCCTCCCACATTATTATTATACATCCATGCTCCCCACCAACGGGTTTATCGTAACATTTATAATGCTGGGTCTAGACCGTAAGAGTGATTTTAGTTTAGCTAGCGGTAGTTGGCTATATTAATGTTTCCAGTCTATGCTATCAGCCAGATACAGTGCTGCCAGTCTGTGGTCCTATTATGTTATGTTATGTTATTAACAGATTATGTTGGGGCTGAGAATCCTGTCAATAATATCCACACACGCGCAATGCAAAATAAAATGATATCTACGTTATCTAAGTATCTTACGAGTGTGGTTATGATTTCTAAAACCAAGGAAGATAAGAACCTGACATTTCCTAACTTTTGTTTGTGTAATGATGTTTTGCATGTTGTCACCAAAATCAAGTACCTCGGGCACATCATCACTGAGGACATGTCTGATGATGATGACATTTACAGACAATGCAGAGTGTTGTATGCCCAGGCTAATACCCTGGCACAGAAGTTTGGCTGTTGTACAGAGAGAGTGAAGCTAACGTTATTTAAAGCGTACTGTACTCCCTTATACACAGCTCATCTCTGGTCTCATTATAAGAAAGCCAGCATGCGTAAGCTCCAGGTGGCCTATAATGATGCTTTGCGTGTGCTTTTGAAAAAGCCGAGCTGGTCAAGTGCCACAGAAATGTTTGTTAATGCCAGAGTGAACACTTTACAGGCCGTGCTACGAACTTTGATGTACAGCTTTATGTGTCGATTGAACACGTCTGAAAATGAAATAATAGTGTCCCTCACGAATATAAAATGGAGTGCGACACGGTATCAATCTGACTTGTGGAGACATTGGCATGATTGTCTTTTTAAAATGCCATTTTAATTGTTTGTCTTGTCCTTTATTTTTATTTTATTTTATTGGACTATGAGTCCGGAATAAAGTTGAATTGAAATTGAATTGAATATTTTTCCCAAATTCTTGCCTGTAGTAGCTAGCTATTGTTCAAATGGAGCTACTACACCCATCAAAACTGGGAAAATTTACTTTTTAAACACACCCTTTTTATTGTATTCACCAACCCATCTGCAACGTTCTGTCAAATCTTGCACTTTGCAGACAGTCCCTTGTTGAGAGCTTAGCACAAGTATGAGCGGAGACTTCATCTTCATTGTTTTTCGTGTTATAAATCGTCAGCTTCAGCCTAAGCCAAGTTTTTTTTGATAGGTGGCAACATTGTGAACAGTATTTAATACTACACTCTTCACTAAACTGAAAATACGGACAGACTTTGAATCCAGGGGGATTTTGTTCGAATATCAGGCGAATATCAAACGTTCGGCTAACTTTACCTCGGTGTCACAAAGCGCCACTGAGCACAACCATTCATTTAAATAGGGCGCCATCTTGGATCGCCGGGGCTTGGCGCCAATAGACAGTAGCGGTAGATGCGGCGTCTACTCTTTATATGTCTATGGTTCTGAAGGCACTGAGCTTCTGTCTGCTCTTCATAGTTACACATTTGTTTTAATTATCAATATTTCTTGTCCTCGAGAGATACTTCGTCTTGGACTCGGTGCTACACAGTTGTTTATACAATAAAAACACAAATATTCGAGAATAAAAGACAACAATATAAACACGAAGTGGACGTTAAAGTTAACATTGAACAGACAGTAAAAGATGCTAGCGGCCTGTGGCTAATGCTAACGCTAACAGCACTAGCATAACACACACAGTCACCGATCGCACGGAGCAGGAGCAGCTGCGGTGGTAGAAGAAGCTCTACACGGGGATCATGCAGATGTTCCCTCTGCTCCAATCAGCTGCTGACTTTATGAAGCACAAAGATCAAAGATCGTTCTTAAAGCAGCAGTAAGCGATTTGGTCGTTTCCGGCAGTTTCTTCTGCCTGAGCGAGTTAGTAGCCCCGCCCCCGTCTCCTCGTCACACCACATGAACGCGCATCGTGTTGGTGATGGCAGCAGCAGATTCATCTCCGTCAGGTCTACTCGTAAGTATATTAACAACAAACTCTGGGAGTGAAATATTAGCATAGAATAGCTCAGTTGTAACCTAGCTATAACACTGGAAGCAGCTTGGTGTTAGCTAGGATAGCATCACTAAGAAAGAGATAAAAACAATCCAGTCTTTTATAGAATATTACTGCTTTTATAGTTGGTACACTGATAACTGTTGTGATAAACATAATGTTGCAGATTGCAGTGTGACGTGTCTCAACATTATGCACTGTAACATCTGTTACAGTGCATATGTATTAGATGAATGTAATGCATATACATTACAACAACAAAGCTTTACATGAAGGTTATTTAAAGTAATACATTACTGCTTTCCTCACAATTTGTATATTTGGAGTTCTTTATAGACAACACTGTAGTAATGTATTATGTGAAAGTAAAGCTGCATCTCACTGTAAGCTGCCTTCTCAATGTCACAAAATAAAGATACATTTATTGATGTAATCAACATCTGTATTATGTGCTTATTGTTCAGAGAATGAAGACAAAATCAAAGTGTATCAGAGCTGTACAGTGAGATGTGGGACTGAAAACAATTCCAGTAAAGCTTGTCCGAAACGCAAAAGTACTGTCATAACTAATTACGTTACACTATTACACTGTAAGGAAACTCACCACTTTGAAAGAAAAGCTACAAGTAACAGAATATATAAAGTCATTTGTCAATGGTTCTTTCATGAAGCTCTGAACGCCCTCTGTCCAGAGAAGCTGATGACCAGATCCTCCCAGACCTTTCCCTGGTGCGTCTGTGAAAGGTGCCAACAGACATTGAAAACGTGCTTTCCTCAGCGGCCCCCATGGTGCACGTCCTCAGCGGCCCCCATGGTGCACGTCCTCAGCGGCCCCCATGGTGCACGTCCTCAGCGGCCCCCATGGTGCACGTCCTCAGCGGCCCCCATGGTGCACGTCCTCAGCGGCCCCCATGGTGCACGTCCTCAGCGGCCCCCATGGTGCACGTCCTCAGCGGCCCCCATGGTGCACGTCCTCAGCGGCCCCCATGGTGCACGTCCTCAGCGGCCCCCATGGTGCACGTCCACTCTGCAGTTCTGAAATATGTTTGTAGTTGTACTATTTCAAAATAAAAAAAAATACATTCACCTCTTTCAATGTGCTTTGTTTTATAGTAGGAAAACAAATACAGTCTGTAACGAGTCTAAGAAACTTTATTATGTAAAAGAAGATTTGAAGTTATAGCCGGAAAAATATACACAATGTCCCTACTAAGACAAATAATTACAAGTGATGGTAAGGCAACGTTTGTGTTATCACTTTTTGCTCAAATGAATAACACTGTTATTATTCAGGTCCTTATCCATCGCTGCTGCAGCGAACACTATCAGAGATATCTAACAAAATGTTAATCTTTATGTTGTAGCTTGTTTGAACACATTTCCTCAAAATAATTCATAAGCAGCCACGCACACACAGCACAGCACACACAGCACACACAGCACAGCACACACAGCCACAAGCACACACAGCACAGCACACACAGTCACACACAGCACAAGCACACACAGCACAGCACACAGCACACGCACACAGTCACAAGCACACAGCACAAGCACACACAGCACAAGCACACAGCACACACAGTCACAAGCACACACAGTCACAAGCACACACAGTCACAAGCACACACAGTCACAAGCACACACAGTCACAAGCACACAAGCACACACAGTCACACGCACACACAGTCACAAGCACACACAGTCACACACAGTCACAAGCACACACAGTCACAAGCACACACAGTCACAAGCACACACAGTCACAAGCACACACAGTCACAGCACACACAGCACAAGCACACACAGCCACAAGCACACACAGCCACAAGCACACACAGCCACAAGCACACACAGCCACAAGCACACACAGCCACAAGCACACACAGCCACAAGCACACACAGCACAAGCACACACAGTCACAAGCAC